GCTAAGAGTAGTTATATTTGCACCCATAAATTTTATAGGTATCCCTAGTAATTAATACACCTTTAATAAATATGAAAAAAAAAAATCTATTCTTTTATAGATACTATTTTCATAATACCTACTTTACCCTCTCATACACCCACTTTAATTTTATATTAATTTGATTCTTTATACTATTAATGTTATGTTTCATTTTTAAAATTATTATAGCATCATTCTCTTTTTTAAAAGTTATTATTTATCATTCTTCTTACCTTTATTGTATTAAAAAAATACAGCTTTATATGCTTCTAACAAAATAAAAAATCTATATATACTTGTTAGATGTGACCGGCTACATATCTTATATATGTTTATTAACATAGCCTCTCTTTTTTTCTCAGAATATACTTGTTATTGCTTCATAATTAAAGGTTGAATGTATTGGTATAATCCATTAGCAAAGTTATCCCCAATGTTACAAAAGAGTTTGAATTATTAAAAAAAAAAAAAAACCGCAAACAATTATCATAAGAAACTAACGGGGGGGAAAAAAAAAGAAGAGAAAAATTCTAAAAAACTAAAACATAAAAAATACATACTTAGTATTTGTTGACTTTTTAAAAGGTGCTTTTTATTTTTGTTTCAATTGGAACCTCCGTATTGAAATTTTCAATGAATTTGATTGAAAAAAAATTAGGATTTATGAAAATGGAATTAGCGTTCATACTTTTGAAAAAATATATATATTTCATACATAAATTATTGAATTTGTAAACTCGTCCATCATTTTATCACTGAAATACTAATGTTTGATAATATTTTCAATTACTTCTCATAGTAAATAAAAATAAAATTACCACAGTATTTAACAAAACGATTGTCATTTGTTAGGTAACATACCAAATTAGGCTTAAAACAAAAATAACCACTCTGCCACATGAGAATGACAAAAATGGGGTAAGATATGCGGTGAGGGAAACATACTCTTCCTCTTCGTCTTCCTGCCCCTGTCCCATTGTCATCTTTAGACCGTGGATGCTATTAATGAATTTCTTTAAAAAAATATTGAAGAGCTAAATAGTCTTTGTGATTATTTTTTCTTTGCAAAATTTATATCTATTTTTCCCCTAAAGTTTCTCTAATAAGTCCTGAAAAGATAAATTATCAAATAAATATATTTTCAGTCGTTAAATTTATATAAAAAATTATCTATTTAGTATACTTTTTAATATGAGATTTTAATAAAATTTAACGGTTAAAAAGTAACTACTGTGAGAGAGAAGCTGAAAACTCCCCTTTTTGCCCCAAGATTACATTCAGATTATGTTTTTTTTTGTTTTTTGTTTTGTTTTGTTTTGTTTGCTATGGTTTCCCAAGATTATGCTTTATGACCATGCTTCGCAACACCGAAAGTAACCTCACTTTTGCCGTAAAAAATAATAAAAAAACGTAAAGCCAAGTAGTAAAAAAATGGATTTTAAGATTAAACAAAAAAAAAAAAAAAGTAAAATATGGGAGAGTGGGCCTATTAGGTGTTAATTTGACACATAAAATAGACAAAGACAAACATCATTGTCTCCATATATGTCCAATAGAATCTCACCTGTGTCAAATATTGCTGGAAAAGCCATTGGCTTCGAAAGTCGAATGTATACATTGCTGGAAATTAATTATTTTCGTCAAATATTCGTATTGCAGGATTAATCTTCCTGATAGGGAATTTTTCTATCAAATAAAACAAGATAACAAAAAAAAAAGACGGAAAAAATTAATTTAGAACTCCTTTTAAAGCTTCTGAAATTTATATAATTTTTTCTTTTTTTCCTTTTCCTAGATAAGCCCATTTGAAACCCCTTGGGTTTTGAACCTGGAACCGTATATCCCAAAACCCCCAGGTTTTGAAATTTATATAATTTGAGCTTCTGAAATTTATATTTAACATACTTGGATAAACACAAATTGTAATCATCTAACGTAAATAGAATACTAACTATAGATAAAAAATTCAATGGTAGATAGATATATGGGCTAAAATCACGGAGAAGATGATTCTGCCACTATGGTGGCAATACTATAGTGGCAAGTGAAGATTGTTCCAATCCTCATTCTTCCATCCGAGAAGGGTTTTATTTTTTGTGTTGCACATGATTTTCTGAAATAGTGAGATGTGTGTTTGGTACTTGTAGTATTTGAGTGGAACGTAAATGATTCCACTTTTAAAAATGGTGTTAGTGATCTTTACTTCTCTTTTTCTCAGTTAAGAAAAAAGGGTCAAGCCCATTTTTTATGTGATAAATAATTATTATTAGATTTCAACTTTATTTTGACAAGCTTTAATAAAAAGGAAAAAAAAAGGCAGGTTTGCATAGTTAAGACTTATACCCTTATACCAAAGATTTCTTCTTTGTTCAAATAGCCTATTGATTTCCCTTAATATATATATATATAACTAGAAAACCATTGCTTCCTTTCTGAAAAGGAAATATACCTTACTATAGAGACAAATAATAAATAAATAGATTGCAACAATAATAATGTAATCACGTTAGGACTTATTTCAATGAGAACCAAGTCCCTTATAAAAGCATTAATTGGCTGATTATTAGGCGTAACTACAGCTAGCCTACTTTGTCATGAATAATTGGCTATGATGATGATTCATCAAAAGGAAAAAAAAAAGAATTGACTTTTTTCAATGAAAGGAAATGGACATTTATGTAATGAGAGATAAAAATAAATTTCAACTAAAATATTGTTTTAAACTATTAATTCAGTAGTATCAAATTCTAATAAACTATTTTCTTTTTCAAAGTGAAAATTTCATAAGTTTTTCTTAAAGGGTCTATTTGGCATTGTTTTTAATTTTTTTAAAAAGCTAAAACAAGTTAAGGTGTTTAGCAAAACTTGTTTTTGTTTAGCAGTTTCTAAAAATTATTGCCCCACAATAGAATTTGAGAAGTAAGTCAAAGGTTGCTTTTTAAGAGCAGCTTCTACTGTCATTGTCTAAATTTATTAAAATGACCATAATAATAAATCTTAATTCCTAATCAATTCATTTTATTTCTTATAAATCAAATTAAAGAGAATATTTTATTTTAAATGTTTATTTGATAATTAAAAATCTTTAATAAAAATCTTATGTTAAATTTTAATAATATATTTTTATTATAATGTTGCAAGTTTAAAAAATAATTTACGTTCAGTTCTTTACGTTATTTAATTTCTTTATAGATATGTAATTTATCTTCTTGAATAAAACTAATTTATTTTTTAGAGATATTTTAATTAATAAAATAAAAATTAAATTTTTTTTTAGTATTTTAGTGTATAAATATTATGAATATTGACTATAAAAATAGAAATAAAACTAATTATAAATATACGTATTAAAATATGTCTATTTTAATTATTATACATATTCACAGTAATTTTATACACAGTTTACCAAATATCTAAATTTTTATTTTTAGTATTCACTGTAATTTTGAAAAAAAAATTTATCAAACACCTACATATTTCTGCTCATAATAATTTTTAACTAACAACACAACAACAATAACAAAAATTTTTAACATTAGAGTAATGCTAAACTGGTCTTAAATCAAATTCTCATAATTTCATGTACCCCTTGTACCTTTTCTTTTCTTTTTTTTTTTTGTTTTCCCCCTTGTACCTTTTCTTTTCTTAATAAAAAAATGAGCAATAAAAAAATGTTCTAAATAAATTTGACTATCAGTGGCATCCAGCTTTTTCCCCGTGTGAAAAAGACCAAGAAAACTGAAAGAAAGAGACACCACAAAAGGGAAAGACAACTCTTTCTTCTTTAATTTAAGAGAACATTGACACAAGCGCCAAAAGAAGAAAACAAAGATTGACATCACCCAAACCACACATGCACCAAAAGGCAAAAACAACCAACCAAGTAAAGAAAACCCGATTGTCAAAGCAAACAGCAAAAACCAACTCTGCCTTTTTTTCTTCTCCCATCCCCAAAAACCCTTTTGGAATCAAACCAAAAATAAAAAAAAATCTTTTAAACATATTATCTGTTAGATTTATATAAAATTACATAAAAATTAAAAAATATGTAAATTTAATGATTAAAAACTTAATCGATCAGTATAACACGTGTATAAAAAAATCTCCTAAATAAAAAATAAAAAAGAAAGGGATTCCTACAATAGGGTTTGAAAAACAAATTACTGTTAGATTTTTATTTGTAATAATATAATCTCTATCAAAAATTGTGTATTTGATGTTAACCAATTCAATAGCCATAAACATGTACTAATGACGTGAGATACTACTATAGAAAGCTTAATATTAAAAAAGAATATAAGACTCTTTTTGGCAGGTTAATTTTTACCATTAAATCAAATGAAAATTAAATTAAATAAAAAAATTAAAAAAAATAATTTTTAAAAGAGATTTAACGGCATAAAGTATCGTTTAAACTCTCAAAAACACACTTAAGTTTCATTCAGTTTTCAGATTTGAGTTTTTAATTTAAGCTGAAATGTCATTTTATATAAGAGTTTTTTACTATAGTAGAAAAAATTAAATATGGCTTTTTATAAAAAATTTTAACTGTAGTAAAATTAAAATTAAAAACTCGAATTAGTGAAATAAAAGAGATCTTAAAATATGGTCCGTTTAGTTCGCTGATTCAAGTTGTAATGTGACTTTATGTAAAAATTTTTTTACTGTAATAAAAAAATTAAATGTGATTATTTTTAAAAAAATTTTACTGTAATAAAATTTAAATTTTAAACTCAAATAAAATAAACGAAAAGTTAAACAGTCTTCACACTTGTACATGCAAACAAACGGCTTTGGTGGTGGTGCACTAGTGATCCCAGGTCAAATCCAACAAATCCCACAATCCCCAAACTAAAAAAAAAAAAGAGAGAGAGAGAGAAGACACCCCAAATTAAAAAACAAACAAACAAACAAACAAAAAAAAAAAAAAAAAAAGAAAGAGAAGACACTTCACAAGACATAAAACTGAATCCAGATACGGCAGAAAACCAGTCGCTTTGCTTGCCCATTTTATCACAATAAAAAACGGAAAAGAAAAAACTTGCCAAACGCAAAATATTCTTTCCCTTCTTTATCTTCCATTCTATCCCCAATATCCTTCCTTGAGCATTGGCCTTTTCCTTTTTTATCATTATCATCATCTCCTTTCTCAACTTCACTTTCTCTCTCTATCTTTTGTTTCTCTCTCTAATGGCGACTCTGGGCGACATTGGGGTGTCTGCTCTGATCAACATACTGAGTGCATTCGCGTTTCTGTTGGCCTTCGCTTTGCTGAGAATACAGCCGATAAACGACAGAGTTTACTTTCCCAAATGGTACATCAATGGCGAGAGGGGAAGCCCCAGGAGCAGAGGGAACTTGGTGAGCAAATTCGTCAATCTGGATTTCAAGACGTACTTGACGTTCTTGAACTGGATGCCTCAGGCCATGAGAATGACTGAGCCGCAGATTATCTCCCGTGCTGGCCTCGACTCTGCCGTTTTTCTCAGAATTTACATTCTTGGGTATTTTTCTTTTTTGTAAATTTTTTTTCAGTTATTTAAGTGTTCTGTTCAGTGATAAAGTTTAATGGTCTATTTTGAGGGAATCTCATTTTGGGTCAAATTTTTGACTTTTGGACTAGAAAGCTTTGATATTTTGCTGTCAATTTCCACAACTTTTTTTTTCCCTCTTGTTTTTGGTTGATTTTTTATTCTGGGTTGTGTTTGTTTTCTGTAGAAAATTCCTTCTTGTAGCTGTGTAGTGCTTTTTGTTCGTTTTCTAATTTAACTATTTATTTGCAATATTTTGCCTGTTCTTATATGTGTTTTAGTTAATTTTTTATTCTGGGTTAGTGTTTGTTTTCCCCAAAAAATTTCCTTTTCATAGTTGCATAGTTGTTTTGTTCATTTCTAAGTTTACTATTTTTGCACTATTTTCCTGTTCTTATGTATTTTAGTTGATTCTTAATTCTAGGTTAGTGTTTGTTTCTGGATAAAATTCTTTTTGGTGGTTGTGTAATTTTTTTTTTTTTTTTTTGGCGGGGTGGTGGTTGGTGGGTTATTATTATGAGTGACAAATTTTGCATATTGTTATACTCGAAAAGCCTTCACGGGCTCTTATTATAATATTATCATGTTTTGTTTTTAAGAAGAACAAAAACTCGTCTCTGATTTTCAAAGTCTCCCTGTTGCACATTTTAAAGTTGTTTACAATTTTGGTTAGTTATATTATTACTTCCTTTATGTTTCTTTCAGATTATTTGCATTTCGGACTCTTTATTGTCCTTACATTTCTACTTTTAAAGTAATTATTCATCGTTCAATTTTTGGTGTTTTAAACTGTTAGTCCTATGACCAAAATTCAGTCATAACTGTATAAAATTTACTCATTTCTTGATGATTCCTTATAAAAGAATAACTTTTATCATTTAGCAGAAAATCCAATTTTATGGCATTAATTTTTCATCAACTATTGCTGTTTTGTAGCTTAATAATACCTCTTAACATTTCTCACTGAATAATTTATCGTTCTGGCAGCTTGAAGGTTTTCGTCCCCATTACAATCATAGCACTTCTCCTGCTTATACCAGTCAATGTGTCTGATGGAACATTATCCTTCTTGAAGAAAGATTTGGTTACGAGTGACATTGACAAGCTCTCAATTTCAAATGTACGTCCTAAATCAGTTAGGTATGTGAATTTCTTGTCCTTTTTATTATTATTTTTTATTTTGTAAGAGACAAATGGAGAAACAGAAAATTGCACGGAGATAAATATTTCGGAGTGTATGAAACTCATTTTTCTTTGCTTGGACTTCTAGATCACTTTCTGACAAAAGACGATGATCACATCTTTATCTCTTGACAATTAAGTCAAAATGGCATTACAAAATGTGATATTATCTATTGGTTAGAATTACTCATGAATTATGGTTACAAGGTTTCTGCATCTAAAATAGCCTCGTACATCCTCTGTCTTTTTTTCCACATGGAAGCTCATTTTTTTAAAATTTATTTTGTATTTTTTTTATATTATGCTTTCATCATTTTTTATTTGTATTTTAACTTAGGCAAGGAGAATTTGCTAACGATCCGTTATGTTTCTTGATTTCAGGTTTTTCGTCCACATAGGTTTGGAATACTTATTCACATTCTGGACTTGTTTCCTGTTATACAAGGAATATGGTTATGTAGCATCAATGAGATTAAATTTCTTGGCTTCACCGCGCCGGCGTGCTGAACAGTTCACGGTGCGTCAGTGATGAAATTTCCCAACACGTGTGGACAACTTTTGTGTTTTTTGGCAATACTGCTTATTGTGTTGCTACTTATGTTTCTTGATAGTCCCAGCAAATGTTTAATTGTTTGTCTTCTTGAAATGTGCAATCTGATGAAAATTGCTTTAAAGTTTGATCAAGGATCTTCCACAATCTTACAAAATGTACTTTGGTTGTTACTTTAATAATTCAAAAGTATTTTCAACCAGGATTATGCAACAATTCTTGTGGGTGTTTATTTATTTATTTTTATTTTTATTTTTTTGTCTGTGTTCTTCTGGAAATTTTATTGTGTTTGATTATTGTTTCTAGTTTATATATCTCTGTTTTTCAGGTAGTTGTTAGGAATGTACCACATATTTCTGGTCGTTCTCCATCCGATACAGTGGATCGCTTCTTTCAGACAAACCACCCAGATCATTATCTTTGTCATCAGGTAGTTAAATTTCATTGTCAAGTTTTTGAAACTCATAATTTCTGTTTTACTTGTATGAAGATGTTTGTTGTACGTTTGATGGTTAAGCAAAAAAATGAAAAAAAAAAAAGAAAAAGAAAAAAAAAGAAACTTGAATTGTGATTAAGTTTATGACATATATGTGATTTTCTGTCTTTTTCAGGCAGTCTACAATGCAAACAAATTTGCTAAATTTGCAAGGAAGAGAGATCGGCTCCAAAATTGGTTAGACTACAACCAGCTTAAGTTCGAAAGACATCCTGACAAGAAACGTACTAGAAAGGTAGAACTGCAGTCTTTATGCACTCAAATGATACAAACTAGAAAAAAATTACGACTCTTTTCATATATGTTGGAACATTTCTATATATACTTTATTTAGCATTTGAAAGCCAGTTTAAAAGACGGGTTTGAATTCTGTTTTTATCAAGGTGGGGGGAGTGGTATACGGGAAACATTTGTGCTGTCCCCTGTTATGTACTCGAATAAAAGAAAGAAAAAGATGATCGGATATCATTTTTTGCCTTCAGATATGATATTTATAAACTTATTGAGCTTTTCTTTTTAAAATTATTTTTTCAGAAAGGATTTATGGGACTTTGGGGTGAAAGAGTTGATTCAATCGAGTACTACAAGCAACAGATTAAGGATCTTGATAGACGAGTAAGTACCGAATTCTCCCTCGTCACTGATCTTCTCAGGTTCAACGAATGCAATGCTTATAAGCTTTTGTATGTTGTCATTTTTCAAATTCTAATGCTTTAGTGCCAGTTTTGTTTTTGTGGTTTGCGTCACTCTGTTTTTATTTATTTTGTTCTTCTGTCTTCCATGTTAGATGACACTGGAACGCCAAAATATTATCAAAGACACAAAATCCATTCTTCCAGTCACGTTTGTCTCTTTCAATTCGAGGTGGGGAGCTGCTGTCTGTGCACAGACACAACAAAGCAAGAATCCCACATTATGGTTGACGAACTGGGCGCCAGAACCTCGAGATGTTTATTGGAGAAACTTGGCCATACCATTCGTTTCCTTGAGCATTCGGAAGCTTGTAATATCAATATCCGTATTTGCCTTGGTGTTTTTCTATATGATACCCATAGCTTTTGTGCAATCTCTTGCAAACTTGGAGGGTCTTGAAAGAGTTGCTCCTTTCCTCAGGCCAGTGATAGAATTGTAAGTACAATCACTGCTTCAAACTTTTTGAGTATCATGATAGTCGTGCTCTAACATTCCGCCATACACGTAGACTTTCTTAACGCTGTCACAACTCTTTAATAAACTCTCTGTTTCCAAATTAAATTTTTTTTTTCTTTTTCTGCTTTGATTATGCTTACCAAGATCCAACGCTGTGACAGGAGCTTCATCAAGTCGTTTCTACAGGGTTTCCTTCCTGGTCTGGCACTTAAAATCTTTTTATACATTCTTCCAACTGTTTTAATGATCATGTCAAAAATTGAGGGGCATATAGCATTATCGACCCTGGAGCGTAGAACAGCAGCAAAGTACTACTATTTTATGTTAGTGAATGTATTCTTGGGAAGCATAGTGACTGGAACAGCCTTTCAGCAGCTTGACGCTTTCCTTCACCAATCTGCTACTGAGTAAGCTTCCTTATCTTTACGACTTGAAATTATTTAATGAGCTCCTCTACACTTCCATGAATTTTAATTCGTGAAGTGCATATCAAAATCATGAAAGGCTCTCGTGCTCTTCGGAATTGCACGTGTACCTCCAATTCACTAACATAATTCGTGAAATTCGAGTAGCATTTTCCTTATTTAATTTCTGTTGTTTGTGTATTAAAGTTAATAATATGTTGCCAAATTGGTATGATTTTCGACGTGGATTTAGATTAATTACGTCACGATAGTGTTGAAATTTTAAACGGGCCGCCCGCGACCACCGAAAAATCAGAATTTTTACCCGATTACCGAACCCGAAATGCCTGAAATTCGGGCTGCCTGACCCGACCCGAATTTCACCTTGGACGAGCATCGGCCAGCCTTTGGCTGCCCGTGCCCGGTCGGGCTGCCCATTGCCCGACCGAACCTGCCCGAATTTTTAAATATTTTTTATATTATATTTTTATATTGTATATATTATACATATATATATATATATATTATAATTTGAAATTTGAAATGAACACACGAACTATATAAAAAAAATTATTTTTTTATTGATTTTTAAATTTGTAATTCATGATTGGTTCGTTAAAAATCTTATCAAGAAAAACCTAATTGGGATAAAAACTTGGTAAGAAAAAAAGAGTACATTCATTGTGTGACGAATTACAAATTTGACGAACTTACAAAGTCTATACAAGATTACAATAACACTATACAAATTAGAAATTACAAAATAAATAAATATTTACAAATTACAATAATAAAATTTAATATGAAGCAGAATGATCGTCTTGAAAATTAAAAGTTAATCTATTAAATTCGTCGATTAATTCTTGGCTTGCCGGTGAGATTGTATCGTGTAAGCGTTGGTCAGAACGATCTCAATTCTTAATGCACGCCAAAGCTTCAACAATATCCTGTTGCAATGCGTTTCTCCGTTCTTCAAGTATTCGGCCAGTTGTACTGAATGCTTGTTCGGCTGCAATAGTGAAGACCGGGATCGAAAAAATATCCATTGCCAGTCGTGTTAGGATCGGCCAAATTAATGATCGTGCCCTCCACTACTGAACCAAATCAAACATTTCACTACTGTCTACAACTAAGCCCTCACTCAAGTACGCCATTAACTCGTTGAAGCCGCCGTTGTTGTCGCCACCTCTTGATGAAGATCCACTTCTAGATTCTTCTTGACCTTGAGTCGTCATCGTTGTTTTCTTCTTCTTCTTAGACAACCCGAAAACATTCAAGAATGAATGCGGATTGTCGTCTCATTGTTGCGGTTGTTCAACATGAGGTGTGTTTCTAAACCTACTTTCGTAAGAGATATAGAGAGAGAATATTTTTTCCTTTATAATAGGAAATTGGTCAGTAGTGCCGATAGCTAAAAATTCACCTAAGTTATCTAATCTACTTTCTAAACCTTTTAATTTTAATCAAGGGTTGAAAATAATACCAAAACCATACAACATGGGTAATTTAGACAAATATTTTTTAAACTTCTTTTCCATAGAGGCGATAGGAACTTCTAAAACCTCGTGTGTCCTAAATTCACTAAATAAAATAGACATTTTTAAAAGTTCTCCTAACGTTAAAAGTGACGTTGGGTAATAAGTTCCACTAAGCTTTAAGGTAACTTTGTGAAATCTACCTAAAAAATTATACAAGAGTTCGGTAACTTGCCAATCAGTTTAATCTATAAATCATGATCCTAATTTTGCACTAACATAATTTGTTATAGCATCTTTATAGGGGATGCATTATTCAAGCATTATATAAGTGGAGTTTCATCTTATGGGCATATCTAAGGCTAATGTTCTAAGATTTTGATTACATCCTTGTAGAAATCTAAACCAGTATTGTATTATTTGATTATTACCTTAAATCCAAACAATGTTATTTCTAATTCTTTTAATATAACCTGACATTGATTTTAAACCGGATTTTACTATTAAATTAATCATATGGCATTCACAACGTTGGTGAAATATATCATTATTACCAAATAAACATAAATCATTTTCAAAAAGTTCTATTGCTTTAGTATTTGCAGTTGTATTATCTAATGTTATGGCCATTATTCTATCTCTTAAACTATATTTATCAATGATAGATAAAATTGTGTTACATATTAAATTGGCAGTATGTGATCCTATAACATATTTAAAATTTAAGATTCTTTTATCCAAATCAAAACCTTTATAATAATGTCCGGTTATAACTAAATAATCTTTGTTGGCAACGGCGGTTTGGCAGTCAAACGACAATTGTGTTTGGCGGAGATCAGCTCCGCTTCCTTGCTTTTGAAGACACTTTTCAGAGTGTCTTCTTAAGTGTGTAGTGTCGTGCATACTGTTACTTTGTAATTTATCACCACAATATTTACATTGAGCTATGTATTTAATGTTACCGTTATTGTCGACCTACTCGAATGTGTTGAAGTGCTCCCAAACTGCTGAGGTGCGCTTACATTTCTTCTTAGAACTTGCAATACTTGCACCAGCATTACTGCTTGCCTCTCCTCCACGTCCACCAGTGCCACCACCATTACGTCCACGACCTCTAGTACGTTCACCAGGAGTCGGATTTGCAGTTTCATCAGCAACTCTTTCTGTAGTTTGCGATTCCTGCGTTTGAAAAACATTAGAAAATTGCCCTTCTTCGATGTTGAATTGGGCATCAATATCACCACCATAACCAGAAGAAGTCATTATGAAAAATAAGAGAGATTGAGAGCGCTTTGAGAGAGATTAAGTGAGATTTAAACGAGATTAAGAGAGATTTGAGAGAGATTGAGAGAAATTGAGAGAGAATGAGAGTTTTTGAGTTTGAAAAATGGTTGGGGGGAGGGGGGGTATTTATAAGAAATTTTTTGGCTTGAAAAAAAAATTTTTCCCTAAAAATTCGGGTCCAACGGCTAGTAAAATTTTCGGGCACTCAGGTCGGGTCGGGCAAAAGTCGGGTAGTTCGGGCAACGCTCAAAAAATTTGCTGTTGGGGTTTGAATTTTCGGGCAAAAATCGGGCGGCGGTTGGGTCGGGCAAAATAAATCTGTTGGTTTCAAAATTCGGGCCAAATTCGGTCTAACGGTCAAAAAAATTCGGACATTTTCGGGCAACGGGCAAAATTCGGGTTAACGGTCAAAAAAATTTGGGCAAAAATTGGGCAAATTCGGGTTACGCTGAAAAATTCAAAAAAAATCCGGCGGACAGCGAGAATGATTTCTCCACCGGCGGCAGGCAGCCGGGAAATGATTTTTTTCGGGCTGCCCGAGCCCGTGCCCGACCAAATAACTCGGACAGACAGTGAATGGCACCTGCCCGCCGTGCCCAAAAATTTTCAGGCACCAGGCATGCCCGCCACCCGAAGTTGCACCACTGCGTCACAATATGCAGTCTCCTAATTAAAATCTAAATGGATTTATTATATTTGCCTCGAGCATTTCTAACTGATTATTATCTGTGCCTGTAGATATTTTTGGAGAACTTTGTGATAGGATTGGAAAATAATACCCTACCAATAGTACACTATTCTGAACCGTCTAAACACATCAAAATAAGCATGACAATTTAACGACATTTGATAAAGATCTACAGTTCATAACTGCCCACTACAATAGGGTACTTACCCTACCACAGAATTCTTCTATGCCTAAGTTGGCTACTAAAGGTATTACGAAAAGCTGCTAACCTGGAAATACTATTTTTTCAATTATCCTACGGTTCTAGGCTCGTAATCTTCAATAGACTGAACAAAAGTACTGACAATATTAAAGTATTATTGTGTTGTTCGTGTCCCAATATAGTTTTGACAAAAAGGGCAGCGGATTTTGGTTTCTTCATCAGTTTCTTAAAGAAATGTGTTTGGAATTTTCCAATAAAAAGCTACAAGTAAAGGAAATCAGCTATTAATTCCACTGATGTAGCTATCTATTTTGTATTTTACTATAGACATGTAATGGTAATATTTTCTTGTGGTTTCAGTTAATATCCGTATAATCTTATGCAATTGAAGTGATTTAATTTTAATTTTTGTTTCTATCATAGGATTCCAAGAACCATTGGGGTCTCCATACCAATGAAGGCTACTTTCTTTATTACATACATAATGGTTGACGGTTGGGCTGGCATTGCTGGTGAGATTCTCCGCTTGAAGCCATTGGTTATTTTTCATCTCAAGAACATGTTTTTGGTGAAAACTGAGAGAGACAGAGAGAGGGCGATGAATCCCGGGAGTGTGGACTTTCCAGAGACTATCCCGAGTCTTCAACTATACTTCCTTTTGGGGCTTGTGTATATGGTTGTTACTCCGATTCTTCTTCCCTTCATGGTAGTCTTCTTTGCCCTTGCATACTTGGTTTACCGTCATCAGGTCAGTTTGTTCATTGTGCTTGAAATTTGTTCCTTTTTTGTCTGCAATATAATTTATTTTAAAGGTAGCTTTGATATATTATCGAATTTCGATATTATAATGATAAATAAATTAGATTTTATGTGTCAGTTGCTTCTTTTATGAATTTTTCATCAAGTCGTTGTATGCTTTATTTGGTTTGACAGATAATCAATGTGTACAATCAACAATATGAAAGTGCTGCTGCCTTCTGGCCACATGTTCACACCCGCATAATAGCGAGTTTATTTATATCTCAGCTTCTTTTGATGGGTTTGCTAAGCACCAAAAAGGCAGCTAATTCTACTCCGTTACTAGTTGTTTTGCCCATATTGACAATAGCATTCCACAAGTACTGCAAACACCGCTTTGAACCCGCATTTAGAAAGTACCCCCTTGAGGTAAGCTCTAAGTAACAAGAATTTACTTTTCAATCCTTTGCATTCTGTTTTATCTCCCATGGTAAATATGTGCTTCTGAGCTCATAAACTAGGAGTCATGTTTTTTGAAAGGCAAAGTGAACTTATTCTTTAAAAGAAAGTAGGAATGTTTTATTCTAATAGATGAGTTACAATTCGGGCACGCCTGTTGTTCGAAAAAACATGTTGTTTTCTGCTTTGATATTAATAAAGTTTTATTCTCTGTCCCTTCTTCAGGAAGCCATGGCCAAAGACACAGCGGAACGCGCTGCAGAACCTGACCTGAACTTGAAAGCTTATTTGGCTGATGCCTACTTGCACCCGATTTTCCAATCATTTGAAGAAGAGGAGACCGTCAAAGTTCGAGTGGACAAACACCAAACCCACACTGCGAGTCCCACAAGCGAACCTAGCTCCCCTTCCCCAGCGGGTTATGTCCATAATAATCCTTCCCCTCCACACTATGTCCTTCACCCTCCCCCGCCACCACAATATGTTTATCATCACTCCTCTCCGCCCCATTACGTATATGACCAATCATCTCCATCCCACTACGTCTATGTTGCTCCGCCATCCCCTCCAAGATATGTCTACCCCCATGGAGAACCTTGAACTAATTCTTGTAAGTTTTCCAAGACAAAAAGTTCTAACCTTCTTTCTCTGTTGATAGTTTGTTAACCACTGTATGCTTTCATTGAGGTCTTGCCTCTTTCTACTTGTAATTATTCTTCTGTTCTTTGCTCCAAGTATAACTTGGTTATGTGTTTGAAACTGAGAGATCTCTGGAAAAGAAGTTTAGGATCACCATTTCTTTTTCTTCTTCGACAGGTTCGTTGACTTCTATTTTCTCATCTTTCATTTCAGAGTACGACTTGTTTTAGCAAGGAATATAGGGCCATGTTTGATTGCCTGTAGTGTATTGTATTGTATAAAGTGTACCAAACTGGGCTGCATTGTTACGATACAGTATGATAATTGGTCTTAGTGATATTAAAGGGGTTAAAAACCCGATGCACTGTTTGATGAAGCATTGTTTTGTAAAGTACTATTTATTCTTAGATAAAAGTTAGGATTAATTATAAAAGTTCCTCCCAAACTATGAACCTTGTAAACTTTGCCCCTAATTTTCAAAACTTAACAAACATTAACAAAAATCTCCCTACGCATGCATTAACAAATTAGCTTCCCTTACATAGTGTAAGGGTATTTTAGTAATCTCGCTTTTAAAATGTAATATGAGCTTAGAGTCTATTTTAATCTAAAAACCTGATTATTATAATACATCTAATACTAATGAGCCATTAAACAAAATACTAATGAGAGTTAAAAAAAAAAAAAAAAAAATTTAGGAAAAGAAAAAAAAAAAACGTAATTTAATCTTTTCCCTTTAATGGCTTCCTAAAAAAATGGTATAGTTGAGGGAAGGTTGAAATAATCTAAAAACCTGATTATTATAATACATCTAATACTAATGAGCCATTAAACAAAATACTAATGAGAGTTAAAAAAAAAAAAAAAAACTTATGGAAAGTAAAATAAAGAAACGTAATTAATCTTTTTCCATTAATGGCTTCCTAAAAAAATGGTATAGTTGAGGGAAGGTTGAAATTCGTTAGAGGCAAAGGTTCGGTGTTTCATTTTTCTATGGTTGCTTCTAATTAAACCCATAATGTTCATGGCATTTAGCTCTTTATTACATAAATTTTTTTTTTTTTCCCAGAAAAGCAAAAAACGAAAAAGAAATAAATTGCTTACGGGTGAAGAAAAACCCAGATTGGACAATGAGTGGTGTGGGTGACAATCTTGTTAGGGAGGGAGAGAGATCTTACAAGGATAAATGAGTTGTTTATTGAAGTTCTTCCCATGCTGGAGGAAGTTGCAGAGATCATGCATGGGCAGAGGGGGATCTCGCACCGACTGTGTTGGTTGCCGGAACGCGCGCCTGTGGTGGCTAACTTGCGGCGTGGTGATCTTGCGGCATCCATGGGCTAGGGAAGATGAGCACTGAACGTCAACGGCGAGGTGGGGACTCGAGGTGTCGACAGGAAGAGGACGGGGGTGAACAATTTTTGGTTTTAATGTTTTTGTTTTCATATTAGATGCAAAGATTTTTTTGTTAAAAAAATATAAATTAACATAGATGGGTAGAATAGTGATTGTGTATCAAATTGTTAGACAAACACACAACACAATGATTGTTTATTTTACCGATTTGAGTTTAGAATTTGAGTTTTACTAGAATAAAATACTTTCAAAAATAGTCACATTTAACTTTTTTACTACAATAAAAAATTTTCACATAAAATTATATCTCAACTCGAATCAGTAAACTAAACAGGTTCAATATTTACTTGATACATGTCATTTCTGTTAAAATTTTAAATGAACGGAACATATTTAGGCCTCGTTCGTTTCACTGATTCGAGTTTAGAATTTGAGTTGAGATGTGATTGTATGTAAGAATTTTTTACTGTAGTAAAAAAGTTAAATGTGATTATTTATGAGAGTTTTTTACTGTAACAAAACTTAAATTTTAAATTCGAATCAGCGAAACGAACAGGCCTTATTAATATTTCATTTTTTGAAAGGCATGAATGTTTTGTTGCGAAGATCGAGAATAAAGTGTGACAACGACTATATAATTTATGGAAAATTTTTGTAATTAATGGTAAAAGTTAATTATAATTAATTTGGGCTTTCTTGGGGTCAAGTCTGGGGCCAGTGCTGTGATAAGAATGGGGACAAGATTGGCATTGGTCTGGATTGGGGTCGAGGTAGGGGTAGGGAGGGAGATGGGGTAGGTGTTGCTCGGGATAGGGTTGGTTTGACACCAGGGTCGATTTGTTCATTTAACTTCACACTGATTAATTTGAATTAGTTGGTATTGTGGCTTTTTGAAATTTTCTATCTTGCCCAATATAAAATTTCATTATTTTATTCAGGCTAAAATACAATTTTATCCTTTGTTCCAAAAGGCACGCGCAAAAGTAAGGGTGTTCATCAAATCTAATTTATTTTAGTCATATAACACCCAATTCAATCAAAGATTGGGTTTTAAAAATTTCATTCAATCCAATCTAATTATTAGTGTATTATCTAATCCAATCTAATTCAATTGAGGTCGGTTTGGATTGAATTAGACCAATCGATTTTGGGCTTGAACTTTTTGTATAGTGTTTTAATTTTTATTTTCATATTCAACCTATTTCTTGGATCTTTTTAACATAATTTAAATGTTATAGTTGAAACAAAAAAGAAAACAAGACTTAACATTTGTAAATTTAAAAAAAAAAACTATAAATTTACAAACATGAAAGTTGATTAAACATCCAACAAACAACTATAAAGAAGCAAACATTTATATTTCAAACTATAAAGAGACAACATAGAAAATATAGTCTAATGATCCAAATGTGCACGTCTACTATTTTTTTTAATGACGATCCATAATAGAAAGAAAACATAATTCATTTATTATTTTTATAAAATATATAAAAATTGTGTTAATTTAGTGAGTGTTTTAAAAATAAAATTAACATATAATTCAATTGAAGTTGATTTTGAATAAAATACATCCAATTCAATCTAATTAAAGTAAATTATCCGTTAAAAATAAAATAAATTGAATTAGATTGAATCGGTTGATATAATTAGTTAATTGGATCTTATGAACACCCATGCGCACAAGGATTTCAACCGGTTACATCACCGGATAGAACCGGTAAAGGCAACTGCAAAAAGTGATGTAACTGGACAAGTCCACCTTCGTATGAGGCAGAGGCTTCGTTAATACAGAAAAAGAATTTTTTTAATCATTTTCATTTCCTTCAAGTTGGAGGAACTAAGGGGTTGTTCTTTTAAAACAAAATTTAGAAAAAGTTTAAACTCAAGTTATAACTTTATTCAAGTTCATATTCTTTTAAGTTCTAACTTTATTCAATTTTATTCAAGTTACAACTTTAAACTCAAGTTATAACTTAAATTCAACTCAAAAATTACACTCAAATAACACTCCAAAAGAATAACCCCTAAAACTTTTGCTTTTGACTTCTGTTCAAAAACCAAAAAGCAAAAGTATTTAGTGCGTGGCATGTTTGAGTGAAAGTGTTGGACATAATTAAGAAAAAGCAAAAGTATTAAGGGCCCACTTAGTTTATTAATTTGAATTGAGATGTAATTTTATGTGAGAATTTTTTATTATAATAAAAAAGTTAGATGTGACTGTTTCTGAGAGCTTTTTACTGTAGTAAAATTTAAATTCTAAACTCACATCAGTAAAATGAACGAGACCTTTAAGACCATATTCTAAATAGTAATGTCAATTATATATTTGATATTAAAAATATAATATGATATGTTATTTTTATTTTTATTTTAATTATAATGTTCTTTGAAATGTGAAATCTACTTTTTTTTATATAATCATTAAAGTAATAATTTATTTTTAAATAATTAAAAATGTAAAAGTTGCAATGACTATATGAAAAAGAAAACATTTCAACTAATAAAATTAAATGTCAAATTTCTCATATGTTAACACCATCTTCAATGCAAATGCTAATACCAATTGTATATTTGACACCAAAAATTATGCTAAGACATGTTATTTTTATTTGTGTTCCAATACATAATGTTATTTGAAATGTTAAAATTTAATTTTTCTATAATCGTTAAGTTTTTAAAATTGTAAAAGTAATATTTTAATTTTAAAATAATTTTAAAAGGCAGAGTTGTGATGATTAAATGAAAAAAGTAACCATATCAACCAATATGAATCAAGTGCTAAATTTGTCATATTCTATACTTGGTGAGAAATTTACCACAAAGTATAGCATATGATAAATGTAATGACTGAGAAAATTCTAGAATTACATCATGTAAATTTATTTATTTAAGTCAAGGACTTTTCTCAGTAATATACTGTCATATTTTGTGACTGAAGGATTTACAGAATTAATATCAGTATTCCTAAATTTTGTAGCAAGTTTTATGATTACTTCATATTTTAAGAACCAGTAAATTCAGTTAATAAATTCTTATTGTAATTAAGGCGGAAGAATTCTCAGTGCATATACAGTTGGAGAATCCTAATCTTAGGAATCTCTCAGTGCAGTATAATGTTAGCAGCATATAGAGAAACACTCTAACATTTAAAGAGAGAACCCTTAATTTCTAAACAAATAAGAGGGAATCAAAGGGGGTAGTGTTTCAGTAAAGAAATTTAGATGCAATATGAGTTCAGAAGTTGACAAAGTCGGAAACTGAAATTTCTTGTCAACTAAGTTAATTCTCAAAAGTTAGTAGGAAGTAATAAGAATAGCTATAAGAATAGAACATTAAGGGGTGATTACCAAGTGTTTCACTAAACCTTGCTTATGTAAGCAAGATGACATTAAGTAAGTAATTAGAAATTTAAGTTAGGTAAGATACCGTTACCGACTTTCAGTCGGCAATAAGGAAAGATGTGCAGAATACTGTGTTAAATCCACAAGTGGGCCAACACATGAATCTTAAGGTTAAGAAGTGAAAAAGAATTGAAAAACATCAATTCTAGGGTTTTAGAAGCAATCGGAACGAAAAACGGATGAAAAAGGGGTTCAGAAGGCCGAATCGCGTAAATTGGGGTTTCGACTGTTTTAAGTGGACCGAGTCAAAGTTTGTTGACCTAGAGTTGGCCAAAACGTCGCCCTCAAAAAGTTAGTCAAGAATGGTCAAAGTTGACTAAGTTGACCAACTGTTTGAAAAACGCGCACTGAATAGGAAATTAAGCTGAACCAAAATAGGATCATTATTAAATAATCAATGGTTGAGATTTAAAGTAACAAAAGGTTGGATGCATGAGATTTTGACATGTGGACAAACAAAGAAGGGCAGCCGGCCAACCTTTTTGTGGGAGCAATAGATATTTGTGGTTTTTTGTTGCAAAAAGGTGCTTGAAAAGTCAAAATTTTGCAAAAATTGGTCCTTGCTTTGAGTGAGTCGGTTCAAGAGTGGGACTAATGCATATAATCCTCATCTTCACGTGGAAAGGAACCAGGGAGCAGCCAAGAAGAATAGAGAGGAAAAAAAAAATTTCCAACGTGAGAAAGAGAGTTTTAGACTAAAATCGATGGAGTAATCGAGGCATAACGTCATTGGAGTTTGACCTTCATTTCCTAAGGTGAGTTTCTAAGTTTTTCTCTTGTTTTCTCTTTTCCTTTGCTGCCGTGGATGTGTAAGGAAGTGTGGGAAAATTTTTTCTAGAAATAGGGATTTGCTTGAAATGGTTCAAGAGCTTGGAATCTATTGATCTAAGGTAGATTTTTGGTTATTTAACCTTGGTTTCTAGCAATTTTGATATAGAGAATTTTGTTGAAAAAGTTGAGAAAACCCTAAAACCATGATTGAGATTTATGGTGTATTAGAAAGAGAAAGGATATGATTGGTGTTTGAAGGTGAAGACAATGGATAAATCGAGCTAAAGTTAGCTCGGAAAACGTAGAAAAATAAGGTGAAATTCTGCCAAAATTTAGTTTGAGAGTTTGGAGTTAAACCTAGTTTTAGTTCAAGAATTTGAGGCTAAACTTGGTTTTAGTTCTAAATAGAAGTTTTAAACTGTTTCTTAGAAAAAACACTATATAAATGTTAAAACAGTTTTGGTGTTAAACAAAAGTGTTCATTAAGAACTCGAAGTATAATCTCAAGAAGATATTTTGAGTTTGAACCTTGTTTAATGAAAAGTAAGGTTATGGGGATTTGATAAACCTAGTCTTTAAATTAGAAACAAGGTTTCATAATCCTTTAAGGTAGAAAAGAGAAAGAAAGCCATAAATAGAAAAGTTAGACTTTCTTACAAGCTTGCTAAGATAGAATAGCAAGTGATAGTTAATCTCACACTCTTAGTGGGTGTTTATTCTCAGAAACAAGAAAGGAAGAAAATAGACATTTTGGTGAATAGAAGATTTCACTTCCTAATAACAGGTAAGTAGGAATCTCGCTTACAGTATAAATAGATTTAAAAATAAACAGTACACATGAATTATATATGTTTGAGTACATTTAAATATATGTATGTTATGCTATGTCATATTGCATACACTTAAGCAGTGCACATGAATTATATGTGTTTGAGTACATTTCATGTTACAGTATGCTATACTATGTCATATTTCATACACCTTAATAAGTCAAGAAGAATTTATAAGAAGAAACTCAGTTTAGTGTCGTACCAGCCTCTGAGAGTGAGGTAACTCAGGCTCTGCAAGAGAGAAGAAAAAAAATATAATAATGTCCTTTGAGAGGGAGGCATTCAGTTCAGTTTATAATCATTGTGTCGTTGGGGACTTTGTAAACCCTCACGTCCCGATGATTGCGCGCTAGTGGTACAAGCACTCAGGCCCATCAGTAAGTAAGATAAGTTCAGATAGTAAGTTCAGATAGTAAAACCATGATAAAACATCATAAGTCAGCATAATCAGTTCATGCATATATAGTCATGTGAACTTACAGTTATTTTACGAGTAATAGTTCCTACTTGCTGAGCGAAAGCTCATTTCAAAGTATTTATACTGTAGGTAAGCAACCTGCACATAATGCTTGATGGACTGATGGCGAGGCAGCGGACGAGCAAAGTGGAGGTCGGGGAATGGATACCGCACGCAGTTATTTTCACAATAGTTTAAAGTTTTAAAAAAGATTTTGTTAAATATGTCTATGAACTTGTATTTTGGAAGCTCGTAGTAAAATTATTAAGTTGTGTAAGCTAGCAGGATTTTTGAGAAGCAAAATATACCTATATGTAAATTATGCTTTAGAAAAGGAAAATTGGTTTTGAAGTATAAACCCTTTGCTATGTTCAAAAGTAGAAACCAGAATATATGTTGTTACAGTAATTTTAAAAAGAATCCTACAACATTCCTACAGCATTTTAAAAAGAATGCTACAGTATTCCTATAACATTTTAAAAAGAATGCTACATCATTCCTACAACATTTTAAAAAGAATGCTACAGCATTCCTACAATATTTTATAAAGAAAATGCTACGGCATTCATATAGCATTTTATTTAAGTTATACAGAAAATGCTACACCATTCGTATAGCATTTTATTTAAGTTATTAATAAAATGCTACAACATTCGTATAGCATTTTATTTAAGTTATAAAGAAAATGTTATAGCATTCATATAACATTTTATTTAAGTTATAAAACAAAATGCTACATACAACATTTTGCAGTATGTAAAAAAAAAAAAAAAAAAAATCCCTCAAATTTTAGGGAGTTTCATAAAGTATATGTTAAAATTAGTAACAGTGACGGCCAACTCAGCAGAGTCGTCACAGTAAATTTATCATAACAAATAGCAGCGAATGAGGAGTGTTTTTTACACTTAAATGTTAAATTTACAATTAGCACATCAATTATAGCATTGCATTGGAGATGCTCTAGCATATGAAAAATTTAGAACAATAAATAGTATTGCATTAAAAAGAGTTTTATACACTCAATTTTTAAATTTGTAATTATCACATCAATTATAGTATTGCATTGGAGATATAACTAAGATCATCTCTAATACAAAACTTAATGTCATTTATATATTTAACACAAAAAAGTGTGATATAATTATAATATTATATTATAATTATAGGTAAAGTCTCTACTCCGGTACCGGATTAGAGTGTCACATGTATATTTCTTTTAAAAATATGTATATTTATTTTAAAAATATGTATATTTTCTCTAAAAACATGTATATAGGTTTTTTGAAATATTATATGTGTCTCTCCACATTATACATATTTTAAGATGAAATATACATGTTCTTAAAAGAAATATACATGTGCCATTCCAATCCAGTACCGAATTGAAGACAATTTCAATAATTATAAATGATATTAAATTTATTATTTTATAGTAATATTATAATAATATTATATATTATATCATATTGATATAATTATATTTATTATAATAATAATAATAATAATAATATAATAATAATAATAATGTAATTAAATATT